TGGTCCACATCAAAAAAAAGTCTTTAAAAAACAAAACAAACCCAAATATGTGTGGGGGACATAAGGGAATGACAAGAAATAATACAGATATTCAGGCTAGGAATAGTGGAGCTCTTACCATCCTGGGATATTTTTTTCATCAAGAAGTGGAGCTTAATTACCGTCCCCCTTGAGCATGGGCTAAACATACTGGGTCATGTCTAATGAATAGAATAAAGTGGAAGTGACATGTTTGACTTCTGAGTTTAAGTTTTACAAAACATTGTGGCTTAATCTTTGCTTTGTCTCTTGGAACACTTACCCTGAGAAAAGTCAACAGCCATGTCGTAAGAATGCTCAAGCAACCCTATGGAGTGGACCAGGTGAAGAGGAGCTGAGGCTTCCTGCCAACAGCCAGCAAGGAACTGAGAACTCCAGCCAACAGTCATGTGGATGAACTATCTTAGAAGTGGGTCATGCAGCCCTAGATAAGCCTTCAGACGACTACAAGGCCACTCGACATTTTGACTGGAACCTTATGAGCGACCCTGAGCCAGAAACACCCAATGGGAAAAACGCAGCTTCTTATGTCTAAAATGGGGATAATATGAATACCTACCTCATTGAGTTATTGTGAAGTTAATTGACCTTATATATGTCCAGCACCTAGGATAGCAAACACTTGCCTGAACTGTTACTATTCTGTAGCCTTACCTTCCATAATTCTATTAAAACACGTGCCAGCTCAGCTAAACATGGCATCAAGACCAGCGCCAGCAACAACAAAGGTAGCAGTCACCTGTACAGAGCCTCCTATGTGCCAGGAATCGTGAGGTAATTAACCTTTGTTGTTTTAGGCCACTGAAGTTTGGGGTAATTTGTCACACAGCAGTAGGTAAGGTAATGAATGGTCATGTCTAATTTGTTTAACCTCTCTGTGCCTAAGTTTCTTGCAGCCTCTGATTCTTCATTTATAAAATAGAGATAATATCCATTTCACCAAATGATTGTGAGAATTACATTAAATTATTACCTTAGACTAAATCACACATTAGAAGGGATATGAAAGTGTTTGACTCAGTGCCCAGTACTTAGAAAGTATTTAGAAGACAATTACATCTTCCTTCTTCCGGAATAAATCACTGCAGTTCTCCTCTTACTACAAACTTGGGTTTCTAGTAATCAAGATGGTTTCTTTAGTGGATTCTTATACTTAATAATCAGCCCCTATGTAGGGTCTCTACCTGAGGACCTTGAGAAAAAATGGTGGTCTAGACTAATGCTAAGCATGCCTGAACAGCTTCCAAAGGAAGCTCTCTCCAGTTCTCAGGGTCACACCCAGGATTTTTAATGTCCCGTTTCTGAGAAACCATTTCAAACTGCAGTAAATGCAGTGAGAAGGTATAAGGACCTGGTACATTGGTAACAAAGGAAATGCAACGAAAATATGCAAACTCAGGAAGAATGTAAATTTTAAACAATAAGGGATTTCACCTTGTCATGAAATGCTTAGGGAGTACACTAGGGCATCAGTTTACCAAGAGGATGTGTCGAAGCAGATGCACAACTCCGAGCACTGTGTGGGCTTCTGTGGGCCAGGTTTTTATAATTGTGAGATTCGATGCTGTTGGGCCTTCAACTATCTGCACTTAAGAACTTAAATAATAAACATTGCAAGGACTCGGCGAGTTCATAATTATCCCTGTAACACTGACTCTCTTGGGGTTTTGCTGATTTGTCCTTACTTGAAGGGTGTGAATGGAGTAGACAAGCGGGGAAAATGAAAAGCAAAAAAAGGCAGTGTATCTCCTCTTTCTTTCCTGGAGGAAAATTCATCTGGAGGAAGTACCTTTAATGTTTACAAGGAAGCCAAAGTGTTCTGTCTTCATTGCTTGCTTTGCCAGTGTCTTCTCCCAAGCTCGTGTCAGCAGTATGCTTCCAAGGGAAAGCCTCAACAGTGGTAATAGTAATAGGTAAAAAGTATTTAGCACATACGTGTCAGTACTGTTCTCAGACAGACACACATACACAAGCGTTAATTAGTTAATAAATTAATAAAAATATAAACATAACATGTTAATCCATTATCTGCATTTTACGAATGAAGATACTGAGGCACAGGGAAGTTAGTCACTTGACCAAAGCCATATAGCAAGTAGGTGGTACCTGCAGGATTCTAACCCAGACACTCTGATTCTAGGGCCAGCCTCGTCAGTGTTATCCAAAAGAATATCGATAATAATGAATTACCAAAAAGAAATTAAAACTCCCTAAACATTTCACACTCTTTAGACAATGTTTTTACATGCATACTGTCTCATTCTGAGATGGGTCCTAATCATTCCCATTTCACAGCTGGAGAGATTGAGACCGGAAGCTTAAGAGTCTTGACCAATATCAGTCAGTGAGTGTGTGTCAGAACCAAGGACTCCATACTTAACGGTGCAAGCCTCACCACTTAACAGCTTGTGTTATTGAGGGAGTTGCTTCACCCCTCAAAACCTCTTTAAACCGATTTCCTAATCTATAAAGTGGGAATAATAGTAGTTTCTGCCCAGTGGGTTTGCTGGTGTATCAAATGAGGTTATATGTGTAAAACAGTTTACACAGTTCATAGCATAGAGCAAGTCTGTGATAAATATTTGTCATCATCATTAGTAAAATCATCTCCATTATAACTGGAGTTGATTTTCTTTTTCACATTATTGGAAAGAAATATAGATAATTCCTCAGCTGGGTTTTATTATTCTTAAACGTATACTCCTTACTCTTAAAACTACCTACTTAGAAGAAATTCTTCAATGTTAGACTTTAAGCAAAGAAAAACTCTGCTCTACTACGGAGCTTCCTGCTCTACAGGAAGCTGGTGAAGTAGAAAGGTGAAATTTCACTCCATAAGCACTTTTCTTTTCTCTCGGAGGTGGACACCAAATGATTTGTGTGTGTGCATTTGTCTGTGCAGCTCTCAGAATTAAAATTCTTTAGAGAGAACCATTGAAAACCAATCATTCAAAAAGCTTAAAAGATGACATCTTGAAGAGCTCCTCGGTGCTAATTCATCAAAGTTAGCAATGACTCAACTGTGATTCTTTTTTCAGATTCATTTCTCCCACGATATTAAATACCATGAAGGTTTGCAGCATTGTATCCCAGGGAATGGAGATACCAAGGGCAAAGTGGAATGGGCAAGTGGGATGACCCCACTCTAGCAGCACTCTTAAAGATAAACAAAAAAAAACTCTTTGGAAAGAATCACTTAAATTTGACAGTTTCTGCACTTAATAGTGTATTGATAGGGTCACCTATTTTAAACAATTGAAGATTTGCCTGAAGTTTACAATTAGCCTTTGTATATCACCTTGAAAAATCTTTTCACCAGCATTTCCTCATCCAGGCTTTACACTAATCCTGCAAAGGGAGCAGTATTATGTTCCCATTTTACAGAAGGGAGAACTGAGTCATAGAGAGGTTATCTAACCAAGGTCAACAAGTCAGTAAGACTAAGAACCAGGAATGATACCGTCTTCCTTCTCCGTATCTACCATTTTTCACATTGTGAGGAGTACCTAAAGGATGATTAAGATCGATAACATCTCAATAATAATAAATAAATATCCTCATATGAAGTTCAAGTTTTAAAAGTTAGGGTCATCTATTTATAAAATAAATTGAATGCCAGACATTTAGCAATACTTACTGAGCACATCCTAGAAACAAGCGTTAGTCCAGGGGTAAATATGAAATGAGACCCAGTGTCCACTCACAGAGATGACACATACAATTTAATTAAGAAGAGAAATACAAGCCTGTTAACACATAAAATAATAGTGTATGAAAATTGGCCATTACTTTAGATCAACTTTTCCTAAGCTGTAAGTTTTCTTTCTTCCTGGTTCTTCCAGGTGTTAATAATTGTTCTGCCTTTAAAAACTCGGGAACAGGGTGTTGGGAACGGTGTGCTTCATGGTGGGAAGATATTCTATGGCGATACAGGCATCCTTCTCTTAGAGATAGACAGTGCACAAACTACCCATCCCAAGTTCTAAAGTCCCACAAAAATAATGAAAACCTCTTTAGCTCTGTGGAGGCAGCATCGCTAAACATTTCATCGTGAAACAAGTTTACTCACAAAATCTTGTTGAGGACTGAATGTCCTCGAAAAGAGTGATCCTCAAACTTGCGAATGCATAAAAATCACTTGGAAAAGTCATTAAAATACATTCCTTGGCTCCTCCCCAGAAATTCTGATTTAAGAGGACTTGGGTACAGTCTGAGAACTTGCATTTTTTTTACAAGCTCCTAGCCGATCCAATTGGCAGATTTGAGAACTACGTTTGAGTAGTATCTCTACAAAACAGTTTCTAAGATGTTCCTTTAGAATGCTAGACCCTTGATATGGACTGAATTGTATCCACCCCACTGCCAGTGAAATTCAGATATTGAAGTTTTAACTCCAAATGTAATTATACCTGGAGATAGAGCTTTTAAGAGGTAATTAAGGTTAAATGAAGTCATAAGTGTGGGGTCCTAATCTGAGAGGATTGGTGGATTTGTAAGAAGGAGAAGAGAGATAGATCTCCACCCCCCCCCCAAAGAGATGTTCAGAGCATTATTATTATTATTATTATTATTATTTGTGTGTGGTATGCGGGCCTCACCGTTGTGGCCTCTCCCGCTATGGAGCCAGAGGCTCTGGACGCGCAGGCTCAGCGGCCATGGCTCATGGGCCCAGCCGCTCCGCGGCACGTGGGATCTTCCCGGACCGGGGCACGAACCCATGTCCCCTGCATCGGCAGGCGGACTCTCAACCGCTGCGCCACCAAGGAAGCCCAGAGCAGCATTATTTTTAACAGCATTCTTGTGCATATCTCACTGTGCACATGTGCTGGAGTTTCTCTAATGTATTCTGGAGTATATTGCTGGGTCAAAGGCTATGCAAATCTTCAATTTCCACAGGTGTTATACTAAGGTGTATATATATATGATCAATGAGAGAGTTTCTGTTGCCCTTCATTTTCCAGATTCACATTTACAAGGAGCGCAGATGGCCTGTGGGTCAGATGGACTGATGAGAAGATCATTGCCAAGACAATGTGAAAGACACCGATGGTCTGAGGAACATAGACACAATAGAGACAAGGTAAGAGAGGAAAGAAGTGAACATATTTACGAACCAAACCCACAGGACTTGGTAAGGGATTGTGGAGACACACGGAAGGTGAAGGAACCAAGAATGACTCTTCAATTTCTAGCTGGAATGCAAGGAGGGAACTTATGTATAGTGTAGCTGATGATAAATTTCCTTAGAACATGTTGAGGACAGGGAGGAAACCAGAAAGCACTATCCATCAGGCACTTGGATAATCAGGTCTGGGGACTGAGAATAGATCAAGACAGAAAACGCAATTTGGGGTGTTATCAAAACAGGTGAAATTAGAAGAACTGGATTGGGGAAAGTATGTGGAGTCAGAAGAGAAGTGAGCTGAGAAAACATCCTGGGAAACATTAATATTTAAAGGGAGGGGCTTCCCTGGTGGCGCAGTGGTTAAGAATCCGCCTGCCAACGCAGGGGACACGGTTTCAAGTCCTGCTCCTGGAAGATCCCATGTGCTGCAAAGCAACTAAGCCCGTGCGCCACAACTACTGAGCCTGCACTCTAGAGCCCGTGAGCCACAACTACTGAGCCCACGTGCCACAACTACTGAAGCCCACGCACCTAGAGCCCGTGCTCCGCAACAAGAGAAGCCACTGCAATGAGAAGCCTGCACACCTCAATGAAGGGTAGCCCCCGCTCGCTGCAACTAGAGAAAGCCTGCGCACAGCAACAAAGACCAACGCAGCCATAAATAAATAAATAAATAAATAAATAAAAATTTAAAGGGGTATAGAATGGAGAGAAGACTGTTGAAGAGACAGTGACTAAAGGAACAGCTGGAGGAATCGAGAGTATTAAGAGTAAGTGGTCAACTACATTAATTGCAGGGAGGAAACCAAGAAAGTCAAATCTGATAATTAAACATTAGTGTCACAATGAGACCACTGAACCCATGTGAAATATGGTTTCAGTGGAAAGGGCGTAGGTGGAAATGACTGCAGTGGCTTACGGAATAAAAAGGAAGAAGAACAAATGCAGATAGCTAGTTTTCACTAGTTGGGTTCTCTGCAAGTAGACATTGAGATGTAGTTTGGGTGCAAGATGTTTATTGAAAACCAACACGTGTGAAAGGAAGGAGAATGATCCCAGGAAATTGGCTTCAGAGACCATGAATTTAACCACTATATCATATTACCTCTGTATTAAAAAAAAAAAATCCATCTCATGCCACCAGAATCAGATTCATCAAATCCACTCTGTCCCACTATGGTCACTATTTTCATCCTTCTAGCCTTGCTAGGGAAACTGAAGTGAAAGGTTAGGAGAGCAAAGAATGTAAAAGAAAATTTTATATTTCTCCCTTTGATTTTTCCCCCATTGTTGCTAGAATGAACACTTAGAAAACATGAGATAAACTTGTGTCTGCAAACGAAGCCCCATGATTATGAACTGTGAATCCCAGTAATAGAATGACTGATGGTATTGACACATGACCTCTACTGCTAGGCACCGGGAAGGGAGGTGACATAAGTTCACTGAGCCTAATCACAAGCAAAATAGCAATGATCATAGCTTCTCCTCTTTATCTTGGGGTTGCTCTGAAGCGTCAGTGAGAGCTCACTGTTGGGTTCGGCTCTTAGCATACAACAGGACTCAGGCATGGTAGATATGAGTGCCCCTGCCCGTCAGTGTGCTGGAGGAGGGGCAAGGCTAGCCTGCAGTTCCCCAGATGCCCACTGGGAAGAGACGGAATGAAGGTGGGACGGTTGGGGATCTGGCAAAGATGTCTCCTGTCTGAAAAAGACTTCAGTTAACTTTCAGCTTTTTCTTAGGAGCTAAGAAGTGAAAGTTGAAATTGACTATCAAGGAACGCACCAGTTGTTAACTAGGCCCCCAGGAGGAAGTCAACAAGCTGCACCACATCTAACAACACCTACTGCTTACCCAGTAACACCCTTACCCAGTCAGGCAGCTCTTCACCTAGGTCTCCTGCCTTCCAACTGGGGGATGAAGAAAGTGCACCAAGAGGAAATTATTTCACTTCCTTCCCAGAGACAAGAAGGAGGTGAAGGAATCAGCATGAATTGAACATCTACTACATGCTGGCTGCATTACATGTCATGCAGTGTTATTATCCCCACCAGACAGATGAGGACACTGAGGCCCAGCTACTTGTTAAAGGCACACATCTAGCTATCAGGGAGCCAGGGTTTAAAGTCATGTCAGCCGGGTACCCACGTCCCCATTCTTTCTGTAGCTACATCAGATGTTTCTCCAAATAATTTAGGTTTAAAAGCATGGGTCCCACGTGAAAAGAGGCTGGCTTTTGGAACATATCCCCTTAGGAGGATTTCCATCATCACTCCACCTTCTCCCTCTATGCAGTCAGCACTTACTGTTGGGCCCTTCTAGAGGAGTTTTCAATCTAAGAGGAGAGATGGACACATGAGGAAATAACTTTAATGTAACATGGTTAATGCAAAACTAGAGGAATGCATTAGCAACTATGAAGGGCAGAGGATTGGGGACCCCTAACTTAACATGGGGGTTCATGAAAGCCTCTTGAGGAGAAACCCCTGAATCCTAAAGTATAAGTAAGATTGGACAGAGAAGAAAAGGGGGGGAAGGGGATTCCAGAGAGAAGTAACATGAACAAAGGCAAAGAGGCATGAAACAGCCTGAACTCTTTGGGCAAACTGCTACCAATCTGGCAGTACTGCTAAATAATGTATGAGGTCTAGAGAGGGGAGAAATAAATCTAAACAGATAAGGGTCCTTTATAAGCTAAACTCTAGGTGCTACTGTAAATATACAGGTAAGAACACTTACGTGGAATGTTTTAAGACCTTGGTGGAATAGTTTCATAACTTTGGTAGACATTTCATTAAACACTCCTATCTGTGGAGGCAGAATCCCACATCATGTCAAACTTAATACAGTGTACTTACATCACACATTGACACATTAACTCAAAAGGTATTTATTGAGCACCTGCTGTGTACCAGGTACTCTCCTAGTCATCTAGTATCCCAGGACTAAAACAAATCACAAAAAAGAACACTGTCCTGCTTGGAATGACCTTCTAGCGTGAGCAGACAATAAAGAAAATAAGTGAATTATATGTTATCTCAGGAGATGTTGCATACTATGCAGGAAGATGTATCAGGGAAGGGAGCAAGAAGTATGAAGAGAGAGGTTACAACATTAATAGAATCTTCATGAAGATCTCAGTTGGAAGGTCATGTTTGAGAAAACATCTGAAGAAGATAAGGGACTTGGCCAAGCTGAACTGGGGAAAGAACATTCCAGGAAAGGGGACCAGCCAGCACGAAAACCCTGAGGGGAACGTGTGCTTGGCATATTTGAAGAGTGGCAAGGAGACCAGTGTGGCTAAAGCAGACTAATCAACAGAAAAGGTGGTAGGAAATGAGGTCAGAGAAACAGAAAACAAGGGCTTTTTAGGTCATTGGGGATTTGGGTTTTCCCTGAGGGGAAGAGAAATTCCTGGAGTGCTTTGAGCAGAGGATAATATGATCTAACTCAGGTGGGGTTTTTTTGTTTGTTTGTTTTTGCGGTACGCGGGCCTCTCACTGTTGTGGCCTCTCCCGTTGTTGCGGAGCACAGGCTCCAGACGCGCAGGCTCAGCGGCCATGGCTCATGGGCCCAGCCGCTCTGCGGCATGTGGGATCCTCCCGGACCGGGACACGAACCCATGCCCCCTGCATCGGCAGGCGGACTCTCAACCACTGCGCCACCAGGGAAGCCCCTAACTCAGGTTTTAACTGGATCGTTTGTGGGCAAGAGTGGGAGCAAGGAGGCCAGTGAGGACACTGTTGCAATAATCCTGACAAGAGGCGCGGAGGCTTAGACCAGGGAAGGAGCAGCAGAGATGGTGAAAAGTGACTGGTCTCTGGGTGTAAGAAAGGCTGGGTAGGAGAGAATAGTGTCAAGGATGATCCAAGATTTTGACCTGAGGACATGAAAAGAAGACAGTGGAGTTCTGCTTGCAACTTTCTTTTACTTTAAAAATATTTGAAATAATTATACTTTTGAGTTTTATTAATAAATTTTCCTATATGTTCTTGTGATTTAAACTTGCTACATTTTAATGTAAACCATTAAAAGTTGAGTTAAGTTGACCTTGTAGACAATATATGGTAGACAATTCATTACCATCTATTAATTTTTGATTCTTCAGTTTTCTTTTCAAATTTCAGAACATACGTTTGTTGTTTTGGCTCTCAGGCAGCCCACGGAAAAGCTCCTAGTCCTAATCACTCTTCCTATAGTGGGTGATAAATAAAACATCTCTGCTTGCCTTCCTGAAGTTTGTAGTCAAAGGCAGAAAAAATTAATAAAAGCATATGTATGCATTTTTATCTCCCATGGTTTGGGTCCTAAAGCTCATATAAGTTATTTCATTTAATTCTCACAACAAACCAATGAGGTAGGTACTATTAGTGCCTCCATTTTAAGGATGAGGAAGCTGGAGCACAGCAAGTTTGAGTGACTGGTCTAGGGTCTCAAAGGTGTGTGTTGGCTAAGCTGGGATTTGAATCCAGAAAACTATGTTCCTGGCACCACTGGGTTCTCTTAACCAAGTCTTGTGGCTTACAGTCAGGAGTGATGTAACCCCAAGAAGCATTTGTAAATGAAGAGGGGGGCTTTTGACTCATTCTAGTGATGGAGGAGCACCACTGTCATCAGGGAGGGGCAGGGAGGGGAAACATCTTTTATCCAGTGGAACCATCACACCATGAGGAAATGTCCTTCCCAAAAGGTCAGTAGCTCTCCTCCCCTTAAGAAATGCTAAACACTGCCAGGGTCCCGTGATCCAGGGACAACTTCCCCAGGAGAACGCACGGCGCGCCTCAGGCTGGTGCAATGTCCTGCTGGCCTCTGCTGCCGCAGGCTCGCCCTGCACTCCGTGCCCCTTCCTCCCCCCGGCCTAAGTGAGCCAGAGCTCCCGAATCAGCGGCTTCTATAACCCCATCCCGTCTGAGCGAAGAACAGATGCCCTCCAGCGACCTACACGCAGAGGCCAAATCCAAAGCTGAATCCCAGGAGCTGTGCGAACAAAGAAGAGAAAGGGAAATCGCTCCCAGCAGCCTCAGGAGCAGCGGATTAAATCTCCACAATCAACTTGATGTACCCTGCGTCTGTGGAATACCTGAATAGACAATGTATCATCCCAAATTGAGGAGGTGGACTTTGGGAGCAACAATATATATATATATCTTTCCCTTTTTCTCTTTTTGTGTGTATGCGTATGCTTTTTTGTGTGATTTTGTCTGTATAGCTTTGCTTTTACCATTTGTCCTAGGGTTCTGTCCATTTTTTTTGTTTTTGTTTTTTGGGGTTTTTTAGCATAGTTTTCAGCCCTTGTTATCATTGGTGGATTTGGTTTTTGGTTTGGTTGTTCC